CCCGCCAGGCCTCGCTCCGCCCGCCCAAGAAATCAGATTCAATTCGTCGATTCAGTTCGGACTCGTCGCTCAGCGGCAAGCACCGCCCCTCCTGCGTGCCAGTCACTGGCCGACAAGACCGGAATATCATCGTTATAATTGAACCCGACGGATACGTGCAACACTGCCAGCCGCCGCCGCGGAGGACCCGAAGGACCCGAAGGACCCTGTCCTCGTCGGGCTCCCCGCCGCCGCACCGCCAGCCCATAGCGAGGCGAGCCCCATGGCGTGGCGGCGCGGCGGGGTCTTGTTTCAAATAGCAGCGCCATTTAAGGCAACAACTGCGACTCGAAAACAAAACCGATGGCGCGCCGCAGTCACAAAGTGGGCCAAGGCGGCCAGAGAGGCACTGTCGCGCCGTCATCACTACCGGCCGCCCCGCCCGCACCCCCGCCCCGCCTCGCGAACACCCCGAGGGCTTGCCGAGGGCGGGGCGGGCGGGGTGTTCCAAGGCCCCCCCTGCCCGCGCCCCTGAGGTGGGGCTTATCGCCAAGCGGCCCCGCAGCAGCACAGCCGCCGCCATCCATCGGTACGCCGTTGTTCACTCCACCCCCCCCCCCCTAGCCAATCTATCGACGCGACCCGCTAATTGCAGTTTTATCTGCCCGATCATATGGAGCCCGTGGTACTGCGTACGTACGACCGCGGCGGCGGCACACGCGTCTCACTACCTCAGGCCGTATATGGTGCCATTTTTGTTGCACCCAAACTTAAGGTAATGCCGTACGTCGTTTCGTGTGGTCCTAGCTGTCTCACCTAGCCTCTTCTAGAGAAAAGCCGCATACTCTCAGCAGCGACTTCTGTCCCGCCCCGCCGCGCCCCTGGCACCGTCAGCCACTTACGCACACCTGTCCGAGGCGGGCGCGTCGCGGGCGGAATACAAACAAGCGCGCCCGAGATCCCTCCCGCGGATAAGTCTGACGGATGGGTTAGACGCGCCGGCTGAATGGACGGATCCATGATAGGTCGACCAATTGAGGCCACTCTTTTAGTCTAATTCGGAAACTCGACTGCCCATTTATATAAACGCCGTGAGCGTGCCCTCTGTTTGCACTAGAGTCCCCCGCCAAAAATGATGCGTGTCTATCGAGGCTTCAAGTTTAGATTTTAAGGCGCCGGCAGAAGTTATACTTCCCCCCGACATACTTACCGCATATGGGGATGTGGAGCTCTTGGGCTTGGAGGCCGCAACGTAGGCCAGGTACTGGATCACCTTCTTCGTGTTCTCGGTCTTGCCGGCGCCAGACTCGCCCGTGCACAAGATGGACTGGTCCTCGCGGTCTGCAGAAACACGCAAAAAAAGACAGGTCAAATGAATACTACCTCGGGTGCGCAGCGGCAGTGCACACGCCGCTCCCCATAGTACTTGCAGTGTGTCCCGCCCGGCCCCACCACCACCCCGCGGGTGCAAAACACGCCCGAAACTAAAATAGCCGGCCACCCTGTCCGCGGCGGGGCGGGGCGGGGCGCATGACCCCTCGCCGCGGTACAACGCAGCACACGCGTGCAGCGGGGCGCGGGGAGTGGGGCGCGGGGCGGGGCGCGGCGGCGGCCTGGAGGACACAAGGACGGGGCCGCGCCGCCGAAGACGTGCTCAAACTTTTATCGCCTCGGACGACGAGCGGGCGGACAAACGAGACAGCTTCCCAGGCCTCGGCAGCAGCGTCGGTGCGGCGCTCGCAGATGTGAAGCGGCGACGTGGAGGGCGTGCGAGATGCCGTGCTCTGGCCTCCTCAGACCGGGTAGGCAACTGGCCGACAACGGAGCGCAGCGGGTTGCCTACCCGGGCTTCAGCGGGCTGACCAGTCCGGGACACGAGGGTAGCTGGCGGGAGGGGAGGCTTTTGGGCACAGGTCAACATTTCAGTCAAAAGCCAGACCCGCCCGCTTTGAGTGCAGGGCCAGGGGAGAAGAAACTCTGCCCTTCGGCGGGGACCCCTGCTCGAACAGTTGCTCTCACCTTGCAGCATGGAGCGGTAGGCCGAGTCGGTGATGGCGAACACGTGCGGAGGAACCTCGTGCCTCTTGATGCCCTTGTAGCGCTCCATGATGTTTTCTGTGTAGATGGGCAGCCGCTTGTACGGGTTCACCACCACGCAGAAGAGGCCGGAGTACGTCTGCAACACAACACCACACACATGACCATCAGTCCACGGGCTCGACTACTCCCAGCAACCGGCGCCAACGCTCATCCGCGCTCATCTCATCCAGGATGACGACGACGACTCACGCAAAGGCGGCATCACTGCGACGCTCGAATAAGGCGCCATAATGCGCGTCGAAGTTGACCAGGGCAGCAATCGTGTCGCTGCAGATGAGGCCCTCCAAGCCGTATTTACCAACAAACCGGTAGAATTGCCCCCCCCCTCATGAAAAGCCCACACGGTCCCACCACAAAATATATGATAGCAGGAGTAGGGGGGTAAGCCCCCCCCCCCCAAAGGGGATCGCGAAGTTGTTTTTCTTTCGCAATAATGGCGGCCGTGGCCGGTTGACTACCAGCTCGAGCGTCCCGGCCATTAGCCATCTGCTCTCAGTGAGTGACCCCCGCTGACCCCCCGCGGCGGTGGTGGCGCCGCGCCGCCCCGCCCGAGCTGGCGCCACAACAAAGAGGGGGAGGGGAAGAAGCGTCCACGTGTGACATAACTCGAGCGAGAGGGGAGGGAGGGAGGGGAGGGGCTGGGATGGCACGAATAGCTAACGCGTCGTCGCCAAGGGCTGCCAGGGCTGCCTGACCTGCCTGCTCCCCCTCTGCCCTGGCCTGACCTCGCCCAACAGGGCGACTCGCGTGCCAAGCTCGACCCCCCCCCCCCCTCCCAAACCAATCAGGGCGACACACACAGTCAATCTAGTGAGCAAGCATAGCAAGCCGTCCGTCCGTCGCCTGCTGCTGCGGAGCTGCCCCCCGGGCGCCCGCCCTCGGTCTGTTCAACACATTAACATGCCTGCATGCTTTAATTTCAAATAGAGTAACCCGGACGGGTTTGGAATGTACATTGAACTACAATAGTGCACAAGACATGAAGTGTGATACGGCCATACAACCGTGCTGGCGGTACAGCCGTGCTGGCGGTACTACAGCCGCTGCAGGCCGGGTGGACGTCGGCCAGCGCGCCCCGCGGCTCCGCCATTCCGCTCTAATCGAAGAGCCAGCCCGATAGCGCCCGCTCGTCTACGAGGCGCCCGCCCCATAGAGCCCCAGTCCCATCTCCAGTCGCGTCTCTCTCTCTCTCTCTCTCTCTTCCTCGCACTAAACTTCTTGGCGGTTGTGCCACGCCCAAGTGCACTGCACTCGGCCAGCGGCTAGCGGCTCAAGTGGCCCGCCTGCCCGCCCCAGCAGCGCCCCCAGCCTGCTGCTGCCTCTGCACTTCATGGAACGAACGTGCCCCAAAAATACACAACTGCCCAGCGCAGCGCTCAGCCAACGACGACTGGCCAGCTCGCTATACAGCAAACTGTATATTCGGCATGTGCGCGTCATCACGCTTGATGCATGCACGTCGCGTCTGGTGTTTCAGGTTTGGGGTGGGGTGGGTGCCTCCAGAAGGGGAAGTGTTCAAATAACACTTTCAACCACCAGGAGAAAACGCATCATAGACCTCCAGCACCGCCACCATGCTACCATGCTGGTCCGCCCAGCCCAGCACAGTGCCTCTGCGTCGCTCTCTTTGCAGTGGAGCAGCGCGGGGCGTGTCGCCTCGCCGTCGCGACTCGTACAGTGCTGTGCGGTGCTGCAGTTCATTCCCTTTCGAGGCTCCAAAGCACGGAGCCGTGGTGGCCTGGCGTGGCGCGGCGCGGCGGATTGCAAGCATTTCATAACCCCCCCGGGCTGCACCGGTCGGCGACGTGCTCCGCGGCCCGGCCCCGACTCTCCAACAGCCACACGGGCCATAGCTTGACACGGGCGTTCCGCCGCAAACCGCCAAACCGAGTCGACTCGCGAGGGGAAGGGGGAGGGGGGAGGGAGGCGTCGTGTCATTTCTGTTGCCAGTGTACCTGTGTGCGTTAGAACGTCGTACAACGAGCGCATTGTCAAACGCCACAGCCAGCCGCGCCGCGCCAACCCGGACAAGAAGTGGCGCGATAAGGGCAACGGTGGGGGGACAAAGACTTGAAGCCGCGGGACTAGAGAGGGAGGTGTGCGGCCGGCTCGACGTCGTGCGGTGGTGGTTGGTGGTGGTTGGTGGTGGACGATGGCGACAAACAGGGGGTCGGGTCGACACGATGAAGGCATCACGGATGCTCTACGAGTTTCTGTAACCGAGTAAGTGCTACATGTTGGAGTATACTACTACACAGGGCGAGGCTGTATGCGGCCTGCACCTGGGCTGCGGGCGCACACTCACACACACACACACTCACCATGACATCACCGGCATTCCTGACCCACTTGAACTCCCTCCCGGTGGAGAACAAAGAGATAAGTCAGACTGCCTGCCGGTAGGGCGTGGCGGCGCGTGGTGGTGGCGCGTGGCGGCGGGGGGCGACACACACACACACATTGACGCGCGCGCGTGTGATAGCGGACGCACTGCTTGTGATGCAACACGACCGACCTCACACAATATCGCGATATAATCGCCAATAAGCGGACGCCCAACACCACCGTCGGCCGCCCCGCCCATCCCAAAACAAAGTACCGCCCTGTGTCCTCCGACAGTCTCTCCCCTTCATAGCCGGGAGCAGCACGCGCTGAGGGGCCGTGGGGTTCAATTAGGCAACCCTTAACAAAAAGCACGCACGGCGGCACCATACCGCCCAACAGGCGTGCGAAGATTGTCCGGTACCCGACCAGGTGCGAGTGCAGGCGCACCAGTGTCACATCAAAGAGCCGGAGCAGGGGGGCGGGGGGCGTAAGGGGGGCGGCGGGAGCTCCCTGGTGACCCCGGTGCGCACCCAGGTGTGCACCGGCAAAGGGACCGCGACCAGAGCGAGGCAACGCCAGAACAACGGCCGCCCGTCGCCGCCCCGTCCCGGTAAGGCAAGCGGCGAAGGACACCCGGCGGCGCGGCCGCGGCGCGCGGCGGGGGGGCTTGGGGGCTTGGGCTCAGCCTCGGCGGCAGCGCGTTCAGCCGTCAGCTGGAGATCAGCGGGCCCCGCCCCCGCGACTGTCGCGATCCTGGCGGACGCTGCTTTACTTCCAGCCGCCTCACACACCTACCACCACCGAACACGACCCGGGTGTTTCATACGAAATAAACCACTCTGACAAAGCCCTTGCGAGTCAGCGGCAGTGAATCAACGACCCCTCGGACTCGCGGCCGACGTCGGCGGCCCAACTCCTCCGCGCCACCAACAAGAGCAGGGAGCAGGGGGCAGGTGAGGGGTCGCCGCCCCACCCGGCCCCACCCCACCGCCCCGTCGGCAGACGCACCACCATTGTTTGGCCGTCCGCCGGGTTCACGACCGATACGACCACCACCGCTGCGTCTGTCTAGGCGGTGGCTCTCGGCCAGCCCGGCGCGGGGGCCTTGAGCAAGGGCGCGCTGCTCGCGGCGCTATACAGGCACGCGATGCTGTCGGGGAGGGCGCTGCCCCGCGCGGCCCGCGCACTGCGGGGGCGGGAGCGGAGCGAGCGCGTGTCTGGGGGAGTTTGAGAAAGTCTATTTCCGACGCGTGGCGCCGCTTTACTGGAGTTGTCGGAGCTTTGGCCAAAATGAGAGGGAGGGGGGAGGGAGGGTGATGCCCAACGCCAAAGAGCTGGGACGTGGCATAGAGAGGCGCGCGTACAGAGTACAGAGAGCGCGCTGTCAAACAGACGGGGCTCGCAAACCAAACAGCGCGTCCATCGCGGAGCCGTCTCGTCCCTCCCGTCCGGTACAGAGGTGCGCCCGCCCCGCCCGTGTTCTCGGTACACCGCACCACCATACACCACTTTCCTGCTCCTAGCACATTCCACCGACCGTGCTGCCGCTGCCACCGATCCGTTCGACATTCGCGCAGCCCTGCGAACGCTCCATCTGCAACCCCGCGCCGCTGACGTCACGGGGCTCGCATCCGCCTCACTCCGTCTTACTCATGGGCCTGGACGCCTCTCCCTGACGTCACCCCCCGTACCTACTAACATGCACGCAGGCGGGATCGATGGCGGGGCAGGGAAACGCCAAGGCAAGACACCCCCGAAGGAGCAGTGACTCCCACGCACGTCGAGGACGCACACCGAGGTAGATGCGCAGAAGCATCGTTACCACATACAGGACACCACGAGCAACGGCAAGCGTGATTATAATTTCGGGGCAAAGTTTCTCCGCTCAAGTCGTGGAAGAAAACTCATCCCCACCGGTCGGCCTGTCTCACACTCACACTCGGCTCTATGACGGCTCTGCTAACATCCGATTAGGCAAAAGCCAGGCTGGCCCCCCACACCACAGACAGGAGGACAGACCACGCCAGCAGCGCGCCCGCTCCGCCAGTCTTGGCATATGGGCCCCAGAAGAACCGCGCGCCCAGGCAAGGCCTGGCCAGGCAGGCGCGGCGTGGCGCAGAGCGGAGCAGATGAGTCACCACGAGTCCAGCGACCCACGGCGGAGAGAGAGAGAGGGGCCTAAAACCCAGCCAGCAGGCCCAGCCGGCCTGCGCAGCAGCACATACACACACACAGGACTTTGAAAAATCGCGCCGTTGAACGCGCAGGATGCAGAAGCGAGCTTCCTCCGCCAGTCCGAGCCAGTCGCGCGCCCTGGATTACAAAAACAAACATGGCCATGCGCGGGGCGGGGCGGTACAGGGCGGGGCGAAGGCGATAACGAGGGACAAGAGGGTCATGAACTGCAACAAGGCCGTTCGGCTGGCTCCCATTAGCATACATTGGCGCCTACTTTGCAGCTACGCCCCGCCACACCGCCACCGCCGCGCCGCCCAAGTCTTGGCCGAAGACGACGACAAACCCGCGGCACAAAAAAATAAAAAAACGACCGAATAAAAAAAAGAGAAAAAAAATATGTGCCAGAGGAAAATATATTCAAACAACTCCGCGCGCTTTAATTTTCGAATTATTGGGAAATCTCCAGCATCATTTCATAATGCCGTAATAGCCATAGCGTTCAGGTAATGCCATTGTGGAAAGCACGCCCGCCCCGCCACCACGCCGTTAGTCATTCCGCAAAGCAGCGCCGCC